ATAAGTTAATTATTAAAATATGAGAAAACACAATTTAAAAATTATTATTAAAGGGTTATGAAAAGTCTCGAGTTCGATCCCCCTCGATAGCCAGGGCATTGGCGTAGCCAGGAATTGGTCATGAGAGGGGTTCACATTTTTTTCCATAAGTATACAATATATATATATATATATATATATATATATATATATATATATATATATATATATATATATATATATATATATGTATATATATATATATATATAGGCTATATATAGTAAAAATAGGCTATATTTATAGGGCTATATTTATACGCTACTGAGCCAGGGGCAACAACCCATCTAGGCGAGAAAGCTACAATAATAATCATTAAAAAAGTTTTTAAAAACCCACGTTTTCTGATTGAACTAAAAAGTAGAAAATAAATGCTATACATCACAATAATGCAAGCGATCGAAGTAAAAGTTATATTACTATTGATTAGATAATACTATTGACTTTTATTAGGGAGCTTGTAGAGAGTCAACAGTATTAGAAACAGTAAGAAAATCACGGCGCCCCACGTTTTTCATCGCTTATAGTAGAGTGATCGCTTGCATTATTGTGATGTATAGCATTTATTTTCTACTTTTTAGTTCAATCAGAAAACGTGGGTTTTTAAAAACTTTTTTAATGATTATTATTTTCTACTTTTTAGTCTTTGTCTGTTTGTTTGCATTAAAATCTTGCTATCGATTTTATCTTTTCACTTTTTTTTGGGTAATCGAAGACAACTCGTAAAAAGACAACTCGTAAAAAAACACGTTGTGTGAATACGTTACTGACTAGAACACATAGATTTGAACCCGTGTCGAGTGGGATAGCAATCGTGTGCCCAACCACTCGACCATATCGTCTCCCCCATACTGGCCACCAGTTGTTACGGTTGTTTGTACACAAACACCGCGTGAACACTACTCAGTAAGGAAAAAGAGGGAGAGTACCGAACCTTGTTTTCATCAAATTACAGTTACTGGGTTATGTCCCTTTTCCCCCACGTTTTTACTACAATTATATAGCGGTCTAAAATGCTCAATAAAATGTTTCCATGGATCAATTTAGTAATAATAACAATTGAATATTCTATTGTCATCCAAAACAAAGCTTCCCTGAAATTTTCAGCGCGCTAGCTAACTGGAAAGTGCCAGAAATTTCAATCGCAAGATTTGATCGGAAAAACAGAGACGAAAGCAAGTTAAAGAAAACGTGGGAAAATAGAACACAAATCAATAATATAAAACAACTATTGACTCATAGTTTCTTCTTGGATAACAAAAGTTAAGGAAGCAAATAAAGAAAGAAACGACGACTGAAATCGAAGTCAACAGCATATTATTATTTGTCGCGTAACATGTTGACATGAAATACTTAATTGTGTTGGAGGAAATCCATTCCAACATTACCATTAACAACCAACAATAAAGGTTATGTTAACATGTTACGTGTATGAAGAGACAGACATTCTAAAATTTAAGTTCACAATCGACCTTCAAGGGTCATGGTCACAAGTTTTGCCTCTCACAACATGGCCTGATTAAGTCACGTATTTTGTTAGGTGATCTAAGTCTCACATAACAGGGAGATAACCAACACAGCTCTAGTTAAAGGAGATAACTCAATCTAGGACTTCCCATCCAGAGAAGTATTGTATCATAACTCTACACCAAAATGGCGTTTACCCAGTTTGTCTTCATGTTCATTTCTCTTTCTGTATTGGGCTTTGGTTTGTATTTCTTTTTATGATGAAAGACATTCCTTCATTTATTATCTTCACAGTTTCAAACCGCAAATAAATCATAGCATGTAAATTAATTTCCAAGTGTAATTTTATTTTTGAAATTGGTTGTCGAATATAGATTTAAAAATTATACATTTAGTATTTCCTTCATGGACAAATACTCATTAAAATAATTTAGCACATAGAAGCGGTTAAATTCGGATTCAAACACTAAAAATGACATTTTGAAAACGGATGTTTAAAACTTGGTTATTATGTAAAATTTCAAAAGATAATTTAACTTATCAAAATAATTTAAAATGAAATTCGGTAGTTATTCGATTGACCCTTTGGTTGTTGTGTGTTTATTACTTCCCCGTAATGTTTTGTCCCAAGACACATACGTAGCATGTCTCTATCAGGATTATATTTAATTTTACACTTTACCTTCCAGCTTTTGGCATAAAACTAGAGCCCCACCCGGCGACCATTGTGATTGGCCAAACAACAAAGTTCGAGGTCAAATGTACGACCTTGATCGACGGTAACTCCAGCATGGACAGTCTGATCTCACTGATCGTCTCAAGACTGGACAACACCACGTCACCCAAGGAACTGGCCACCATCAACGTCTTCAGCCACAGCGGTCAAGCCTACGACATTTCAACCGAGAACATCACTGTTTCCGGTCAAATCAACTCACACAACGAGTCGTATTTAAGCCTGGTGTGGGAAAATCCGGACGCGTCTACATCCGGTGATTATATGTGTGAGGGCAACGGGGTTGACGTCACTGGACATTCGGTCATCATCAACACTATGACGTCAGTGTCTACGTCTGCTCCTGTTGACCAGGCGACGATTGGTCAAGTCCAGAATTTGACCTCGAAATTTGAGCAATTGTCAAAGGTAGTCGAGGGTATTGTCAGTAAAGACAAGTTAAGGCAGGATAAATTTGAACTGATAAAAACCACAATTTTTAACGTTTCTGAAATATTCAACGGCAGACGTTACTTATTATCGCCCCTTCTCAACGACATCATAGACAAACACGCCCAGGCAATGTGCGAACTCTTCAACGGTTACCTGGTAGAAATCGATTCCAGTTCAGAATTCGATTTCGTTGTTGATTTTTCATTTTCCAATCCCGAATATTACCGGGTTTTGACCGGGGCAACGGACGAGGGGTCGGAGAACGTTTGGGTCAACCGGCACAGCATGACCCCTGTGAACTTCACAAAGTGGGCCGCCGGGTCCCCTGCTACGTCACGTATCGCAAACTGCCTGTACCTGTGGCACGAGGAGAGGTCAATGTTTGACAGCGGATGTTCCATGGCACTTAAAGACTTTTCCTTCAACACTGCCTACCTGTGTGAGGTACCTGAGTAGGTCATTACACGGTGCTGCAGAAGGTCACTACACGGTGCTGAAGTAGGTCACTACAGGGTGCTGAAGTAGGTCCCAACACGGTGTCGCAGTAGGTCACTACACGGTGCTGAAGTAGGTCACTACACGGTGCTGAAGTAGGTCACTACACGGTGCTGAAGTAGGTCACTACACGGTGCTGAAGTAGGTCACTACACGGTGCTGAAGTAGGTCCCTACGCGGTGCTGAAGTAGGTCACTACACGGTACCGGAGTAGGTCACTACACGGTACCGGAGTAGGTCACTACACGGTGCTGAAGTAGGTCACTACACGGTGCTGAAGTAGGTCACTACACGGTGCTGAAGTAGGTCACTACACGGTGCTGAAGTAGGTCCCTACACGGTGCCAGATTAGTTACCTACACGGTGCCGGAACAGTTACCTACACGGTGCCGGAACAGTTACCTACGGCGATCAGAAAATAATTCTAGCACGCTATTTATATTTATGTGTCCAAAGCAACATCAATAGAATCACTTAGCGGATGTTATTTGTTTACTCAATTTTCAAAGCAGTTTAAAATATTTTAATTCTTTTTCATTTGCCCTTTTTCACATTAACAATTTTAAATATTTTAAATATTTAAACAAAAACAGTTCATTTTTAATTGCTGATTTATTTTAGTTTCAAAGAAAAAAAAGTGGTATCATATTATGTTTAATAAACATTTTCTCAAAAACAAAAATTTAGTTTTAATTTTGTTGTTTTTGTTTTTGTTATTATTTGTAGTCATTGCCTGATAACCAATTTTAAAATATTGCATGTACGCCTTATGTTGTCAGTGATAAATCAGCGTTGAATTGAATCGTTTTGAACTGCGAGTAAAAATACTATAGTAAAAATGTAGTCTGGCCTATGTTTTGTCAAGTGATGAATACAGTGTCACTTAAAAACATCAATTGGTAAGTTACTCAACATCAACATACAGCCTGCAACCCCCCCTCAAGATTTTGATTTGCACCCCCCTCCCCCCTCTCAAACTTTCGATTTGCACCCCCCCTCAAGATTTTGATTTGCACCCCCCCCCCCTCAAACTTTCGATTTGCTCTCGCGTCAACCTTTCAATTTACTTTTACAACCCATTTTGGCGCCCCCTAAGGTCGGCGCCCGGGGACATATGTCCCCCCCCCGCCCCCCTTCGCTACGCTACTGCAAATATGTGACTACCTCAGTCAACTGTATGACTATCTCAGTAAACTATGCCACCACCTCAGTAAACTAATTACCCTAAGCTAGCCAATGAGTCGAAATCAAAGTTTGTTTTGTTAAACCAATTTGATCTTACATTAGGTAACTGAAATGCATTTTCCTGCTTACGACAATCGTTTATTGATGCGTGCTTGACATTAAAACTAAGTTTTAATGGTCTAGTTTAAATTTTTTTGTGATACAATTTAGAGAACCCAGATACTGTCCAAAAAAGCAAGAAGAAAACATTATTATAACACAATAATGTGTAAACTGTTATCAAATGTTTATTCTCAGCAAAAATCAATTTTATTATGATAAGCAACTGAAATGTATAATCTTAAGTCAAATGGAATGGATATGTTAAAAAAGTGTATCGCAGCTTCAACTCATATAACAAACAGACAAATAAACATACTGGTTTAATATAACACAGTCGGTATTGGTATGTCTTAAATTAAGCACAAAACAAATAGAACGAATATAGGTTATAGAGTAGGTCTACATTTTACAACTAAGTGATAACAAAATTGTAAAGTTTTGTAAAAATACTGAACATAATATACAAAACTTCAATAAAGTTAACAAGAATAATGTTACATAAAAAACGAGTCTATGGACATTGAATTTTAAAACATCCTCAATCGT